TATTTATGACCTGATCCTGTATGGCAATCATGAATCCTTCCGTCTCCCCAAAGAGGCATCCCCGATCTAACCAGCTGTTTGACGCAGTTTTGTCAACAAAATCCTGGGCCAGGTCATAAGGATGCCTGCCGTGGAGTGCCTTTCGAGCCCACAATTGCTTGATGGTGTCTATGCTTTTTATATGTTGTGTCATGTCTGTATGATGTGAGTGTAAGTTTAATGGTGTGTTATTTGAGTCTGCTAGAGTTACTGCTTTATGTAACTGTGATGTTTCTTGTTTCTTGTAGAAAAACTCTCGCAGTGTTTGTATTTGTTTGTAGTGGAGGTTAACTATGTCGATCAGGCCACGTCCGCCATCTTTACGTGGAAGTATTAATCTTTATATGGCATATTTAGGATAATGTTTATGCTTAGTAAGTGGTGTTCTTGTTTTCATTTGGAGTTGCTCAAGATCTGTGTGAGTCCAATGTATAACTCCAATAGAATAAGTGAGTATTGGGACAACATATGTGTTTATTGCTTTAACATCATATGATTTCATCAGTGAATGAAATACAAGTATAAGAAACACAACAACTGTGATAAAAATATATAAATAAAACTTGAAATTGATAGAATATGTAAAAGTTCATGTCATACCTTTCACCTTGTGACAGCACACTGGTTGTGGAACACTGGCCTAGAGCATGCACGCACATACACACATACATATCCTTCTAACCTCCATCTCAAACCTTCAAATATTATTTTCTATTTCACTTCATTATGGATATAATTACAAAATAGGAAAACAATAAAACAGAATACTGAGTGGGAACTTCCTAAATTTCATGTATGGAAGATACAAATGCTTATTTAATGACAAATTTGTTTTGTCATATCATTTAATTTGTTTTATTTATCAAATAATAACATAATAATAATTTTTAAAATAAACTCAAAAAATTAAATAGAAAATAATTTTAATGTGGTTTAAAATTAAATAGTTAATAATTTTAATATCCAATTATCTTATTTGGGACTTTATTTCTTGGCTCTAATTTACTGTAGAAAACTCCTAGCTTAGTTCAAATAGACATTTGTTATTGAAAGCAAAATTAATTTATTTCCACATAGTGATTTGATTCTCACTGCTGATTTCAAAATGAGAACAGTGAAATAAGCACTTATGGGGCTTCCCTCTTACTTAGTGATTAAGTGATAGACAATTGGTTTTATAGGCTGAATCAATTTCTTGTCCAATTAATCAGTAATGTATTTGTTTGTCTTACTAATTGGCCAAACAAATTATTAATTATTATTATTATTAGTCATTACATCTGTTAAATTTAAGTCTAGGAAAATTACAAGGGATAATTCTTCCTTTTTGTTTCATGTTTTATATTGTCATTACAGTAACTTATGAATTGATTATTATTAATGATGGTCTATAAAGTAGATCAAAATGTTAGAATTTAAATATTATATTACTGTGCTATTATACTAGGGTACATCTGTTAGTACAATATCAATTGGCAAATTTAAATATTCAAACAGTTTAGGACGACTTTAAAAATTCTATATTAGTTAGACAAAATTATAAATTTGAGAAAATTTCTAATGATCTAAATCCATAAAACTTTGTTTTCAACAAATTTTTTTTTAAATGCTTCACAATTACTCTTTATAATGTTCAATCCAAGGACAGATGTTAACAAACGAGTGAAAAAATTTTAAAAATGAGAAAAAAAAGAAAAGTTAAACATATATTTACTTTTTTTTGCAGTTTTTACTTTTCTGTTTATCATTTTTTTATTTTCATTGTGTAACAAAAAATAATTTTCAATTAAATTTTTTCCTGTACATTAATTTAATAATTTAATTAATAACTTTTTTAAGAAATTTACTTTAAAATTTATATTTTCTTTTAAAGCCATTCATATTACTAATTTATTATCAAGGAAAAACTAATCTTCCTTTTTTCTTACATTAATCAGTTTGGATAATCTTTTCCTTATTTCTCCAAATAAGATTTAGGGAAAGAAGTAAAAGATAATTATATATTGGCCATGATCTTATGTCAAAAAAATTTTTTTAATAAAAGTTCCTAATTTATGTAGATATAATGTCTAATAATATAATCAGGCTATTTTAATACTACTATTAATAAGCAGTAAATATATATACAAACATCTCCAACCCGATATATAATTATAGCTACAACCAACAGACTGCCGAAAATCTATCGGGCTAGTTTTATGCTACTTATTAAATAAGTAGCATAAAACTAGCCCGATAGATTTTCGGCTATAAAACAATAGATTTTCGGCTATTTAATAAGTAGCATAAAACTAGCCCGATAGATTTTCGGCAGTCTGTTGGTTGTAGCTATAATAAGCAGTAAGTAGCCCAATTTAAATTCATTAATTGTTTCATTATAAAATATCAGGCTTTGAGATGTATATCTAATAATACAATAATAAGTGTATTTTATATTGCCAGCACTATGCAAACCAGCTTTTATTGGTGGAACATGTGTTTCTATGGCAACCATGTTCAAATTCAAGTGTTTCTTAAAATGATGGAGTGAGTACATGTCAGGAGTTGCAATTTGGCACAGAGTATTTGGTGCCCAAATCATGTGCACATAAAATAAATCAACTTATAGATAGTCAGGGGTCCAAGAACCAGGTCAAAAGAAAATACAAAATGCTCACACCTGTTTGTAGAAATTGAGACAATTTCTACAAACAGGCATGAGTGCGAGATTTGTGCTTGCATTGCTCGCACTCTCCAAGACAGTTTCATCCCAAAAATGGCTTTGCCATTTTACTTGTTTTTGTTGTTATTGTTTGGTAAAATTAATTTTTGTACCAAATGTAAAGATGAGGGAAAATTATTAGGAATTATTAATAAAATAAAGAATTTCGTCATAACTAACTAAAAAAAAAGATTTTTGCTTAAACTATGTTTTTTGTAAGTTTCTATTTAAATTCAAATATATTCTGTATATGTTTACATAGAATATATTTTTGCTTTGGTTTTTCTTTATATAATACTAACTTCAGAAAAAGTTACTATTACATAATAATTAATATATCTTAAATTAGATTTATTATAATAATAATACTTCAAAAGAAAATAAATATTTCTTATTTTACAATTAACATTGTTTGTTTTAAAATATATGAATTTTTGTTTGTCAGGTTCGACTACAAACAATGCCTAAACCTCTTCCAGGAGAACGTCCACTTTACACAGGAACACTTGATNGAAATTGAGACAATTTCTACAAACAGGCATGAGTGCGAGATTTGTGCTTGCATTGCTCGCACTCTCCAAGACAGTTTCATCCCAAAAATGGCTTTGCCATTTTACTTGTTTTTGTTGTTATTGTTTGGTAAAATTAATTTTTGTACCAAATGTAAAGATGAGGGAAAATTATTAGGAATTATTAATAAAATAAAGAATTTCGTCATAACTAACTAAAAAAAAAGATTTTTGCTTAAACTATGTTTTTTGTAAGTTTCTATTTAAATTCAAATATATTCTGTATATGTTTACATAGAATATATTTTTGCTTTGGTTTTTCTTTATATAATACTAACTTCAGAAAAAGTTACTATTACATAATAATTAATATATCTTAAATTAGATTTATTATAATAATAATACTTCAAAAGAAAATAAATATTTCTTATTTTACAATTAACATTGTTTGTTTTAAAATATATGAATTTTTGTTTGTCAGGTTCGACTACAAACAATGCCTAAACCTCTTCCAGGAGAACGTCCACTTTACACAGGAACACTTGATTGTGCTAAGACCACAATTGTAAAAGAAGTAAGATTATATTTTTCTTCATCTTTAAAAGATATTAAAATCTGAAATATTTTAAAGAATTAGATAAAATGTGAATTGTTGCATTAATTCTCTAATATTATGTTAAAGCTGCACACCCAATAATCTTTAAATTAATTCAGACAATTTTATTTTATACAGCAACACTTAAGTAAACAGTAGTAATTATTAAATGTAAATCTAAAATTTAGTCTTTGTTGAAATTATCAATAATAGATATGATTTAAATTTCTGTTTACTAAAGATTAGATGATATCTCACAATTCATAACTCAAATTCATTAAAGAAATAGAAATTTTTCTGCTTTTTCATATTTATTGTTATGACTTTATGCAAGTAAAAATAATATAACTATTACTTTTTACAAATTTCAACTACTAAGGTAAATACTTTACTTTAATAGTTGAAATTTTTTCTATAATCATCTTAACGTTGACAAACATTTTATGTAGGATGATAAAAAGCAATTACATATTTGATGTAGTTCATTTATCATTGGGTGAAAAATAAATAATTGTGATTGGAAGAAATTTAGATAGTTAATATTTAAGCATAAATTTTAGTTCATAAATATTAATATCGTTTAAAATATATGAAATGAAAAATTGCCTGTATCTTATTTTGTCTGCTTGAGGTTGACTTTGCTAATCCCGTTTAAGGCTTCTTGATTTTCAATTACCCCTATACCTTGTTAATGCAGCTCTCACTTTACATTCTTCTTTTTTTAATGCTATAAATACAGGTATACCTCTACTTATGTCATTCCCGATTATACATCGTTTGTCAAAAAAGTATATGGAAAAATAAAAATCAAGTTTAAGTCATTTTATTTGACTTTACGTCTGTCCGCCACAAATATTGAAGTCGTAATATCACTAGAAAAGCGTTTAAAGCACATAAAATCATATTAAAATATATACATTTACAAGTATGTACTGTATTTACAGTTCTTGCATTTGTAAATTTAGTTTACTTTTTTCTGTACTATATTAAAAACTAAAATTTATTTGTTTGTAAGCTTAAAATAGATCCTTATTAACCATATATTATTAAAAATGCATTAATAAATAAAATACAGAACCGGGAATGGTAATTTATGGTTTAGCCTAGTGACAAGTAAATTTGACTTATGTCGTTTTTCTACTTACGTTGCCTCTTCTGGAACCAATTACCGATGTAAGGCGAGGTATACCTGTATCTGAAATAAATAATAATATAATAGATAATAAGTTGAAATTTTTATTGATGTTGGATTTTTTGTTTCCAAATATATGAGAAATTTAACTATCAATATGTACATTGACAAACACACTTTTGAGTTATGTTTTCTTTTAGATTAACACCTGAAATAAGACTGATAATTATTATACAAGGTGGTATTGGAAAGTTCCCAGACTAGCTTGCATAACTGTACCATTCAACTAAACTGTGCAACCTGTTGGAGGTCATCACTTCTAAGTTTTCTGAGTCAGCATACTGAGTGATGTCAGATAGTGAACACACATTCAATCATTTCATGTAGTTTTGTAAAATAGTGTGAGGACCACTCTTGATTATGACAATGACAAATTAGAGCAATATGCATCCATTATATTTTATGTCAAGCTCAGGGAATCTCCCAAGACCTCAGAATGCTTCAGCAGGCTTATGCCAACCATTTGTTAGGCCAAACACAGATTTTTTGAGTGGCACATGTTTCAAGGCTCATCAAGTATCTGTTCAAGATGACAAGCATTCCAGATGACCAACCACCAGCAAAACAAGAAAATGTCAAAAATATTCCCCAACTTATCCATGAGACCATCACCAAACAATCTACCAGCTTTTTGAAATTGTTGGAATCAGTTATAGAATGTGCCAGGAGATCTTCAAGCATAATCTGAACATTGTGTTGCTTCAGTGTTTATGCCTCGGATCCTGACAGTTGAGCAGAAGCAGCAATGTCTTGACATGCTAATGACAACCCAAATTTCTTGTCATGTATCGTTATTGCTGATGAAACATGGGTTTATGGCTACAATCCTGAGACAAAACAGCAGTTGTTGCAATGGAAGAGCCCACAGTCACCATGACCAAAGATGATGTGACAGATCAAGAATGCAATGAAAACCATGCCTTTTTTTTTTTTTTTGCATTAAGGATATTATTCACTGAGAATTTGTTTTTCTCTGTCATGATAGTCAATTCTGATTTTTAATGTGATGATTGAGGCATTTGAGAGATGTATGATGAAAAAGACCAGAACTGTGGTGCATTTGCAATTGACTGTTGTATCTTGACAATACACTAACTCACAACTCACTGAAGATTATGCAGTTTTTGGCAGAAAAAAAAGGTGGTTGTCTTACAGACTCCATACTTGCCTGACTTAGCTCCTGTGACTTTACCTTCCTCCCCAAAATTAAATTGAAGCTAAAAGGACACCACTTTGAGACCATTGACAAAATCCAAATAGAATCACAAGTGCTACTGACACTTTTGGTAAATGGACTTTAGCAGTGTCTTTAAATTGTAGAAGAGGTGCTGGGATCACTGTATATGCTCTCAAGGGGACTACTTAGAAGGGCTAGATTTGAAAAAGCTTACTAGCTAGATTTGAAAAAGACAAATGTGTAACTTTTTATAGGTGTAATCTGGGAACTTTTTGACATCAACTGGTTTGAACCGAAGGGGTAGAGCATTGAGCTTGACCCCACTTATCGGCTTCTTTGTCAGGGATGGTCTATGTGGTAAACGAGTGGGAGGGTTAGCGAGGTTGTGACAAGGGGTCGGCTGTACTCAAGGAGGACACTTATTTAAATACAGAATAACATATTTAATAGACTATAAAGTTATACAAATTGAATGTAAAAACGAAAGGTTACAAAAAATAAATGGGAATAGTCAAAAATACTTCTAAGTCGCGACAATTATTAATCCGTTCGTGCTGATAAATTGGCTAAGTACTGGATCTTTTATAGGTACCAATATCTATTAAGTTAAGTTAATCTAACCCTAGCCTATGTCAGAGAGAGAGTGAAAAATTTTCTAAGTGATTACCTCTTAGCCGTGACGATCAAGTTCCTAGGAGTCTTTATGTCGGAGTACTGAGCAGGGGTTTGAATGGGTTCCAGCCTGGTGTCCTCCTGCCGGCGATAGCCCCAAGGTGCAGGTGCGATCCCTTTTTATACATGTCCCTGAGGGAGAACTATCAGGGGAAGTTCTGATGCAATCCCATGTAAGTTCGACTTGTCCAGGTGATGTTTATGTTAATTGTCAGAAATCGAACATTTCTTTAAATTTATCACTTCTATCCAGTATTGTCACTCTTTCTACCTCATAAAATTGATAACAGCTGTCAAACTCACTGAATTAATTGCTGGAGGTAACTAAGGTCAGAGTTTGTCTTGCAACCTTAGTTATAATTGTTCCTTATATGGTCATCTTGATTGGCTGTATCAATGTTAAAATTGGACGAAATAGGAAGTGTGTGGGTTTACTTGATTCCTTTCCCATTTGAAAGTTTAAAAGGTCACTTCTCGAAATGACGCAGAAAATTGAAGAGTTGAAAGGTCTAATTTCGACCTCCCAGAATAATGAAATAATGATGAGAAAAAAGAATATTGAAGATTAAAAATTCACAAAAGTGCTTGAATGCACACTGGTATAAAACACTAATTGGAGATTATTTATTATAATTATATAAAATTTGTATTATAGAAATAAAATAAAACAAATAAATAATTTTTGAAGTAAAATTAAGAAAACTTCTTAATATTATTATATTCAAAAATTTGCTATATTTTTTAAGGGATTTTTTGGTTTATACAAAGGAATGGGTGCCCCCATTGTAGGAGTTACACCAATGTTTGCAATTTGTTTTTTTGGATTTGGTGTTGGAAAGCGTTTGCAACAAAAACATCCCGAAGAGGAATTATCGTAAGTGAAACTAGACTCATTTAATTTTGAACCAATAATACTTATTGATTTAAGCCAAATGATCACTGCAATTAATTGGGCTAATATTATGCTAAATAACACGTGCCTCAGAAAAACCTTTAAATTTTCTTTTGCATAGGTTAAAGGTTTTTCTGAGGCACGTGTTATTTAACTCCGATGTGCAGTTGATTGTTATAATTATTATGCTAAAATTAATAATTATAATTTTCATAATTTATTAAATAATTTAGAACATTCTGGAAGAAAAGAACTGACCCAGGGCAGGGCTTAAACCCGCAACCTCCACTTGCCATGCAGTGCACTTGCCAGTTGCACCACTTGGACCCGAGCAAGCCTTCACTTCCAGATGTATTTAAATTTTAGATAAAACCTTACATGGTTAATCACGGCACTGGCTGGGAATGATTCCTATGCCTAAGTACAACTCCACAACAACACTCAGCCAGCTAACATTTTAAATTAGTGGAATTATAGCCCAATTGTTTAAGTAATTGTTTGGTTATGTTTCTATATACATATCAGGTTTTGTGATATTTGATATACTTATATGTATACTTCATTGGATAAAACATTAGCTGACTGAGTGCCGTTGTGGAGTTGTACTTAGGCATAGGAATCATTCCCAGCCAGTTCCATGATTAACCATGTAAGGTTTTATCTAAAAGTTAAATACATCTGGAAGTGAAGGCTTGCTTAAGTCTGGGTGGTGCAACTGGCAAGTGCACTACATGGTAAGTGGAGGTCGTGGGTTCAAGCTCCACCCCGGGTCAGTTCTTTTCTTCCAGATGGTTCTAAAATATTTAATAAATTATGAAAATTATAATTATTAATTTACTTAAGAGATGGTACCTAATGTCTACCTCTAGTAGCAAATTATTTAGTATTAATCATTAAATTAGCTGAGTTATAGCCAAATTATTTATGTGATCATTTGGTTATGTTTCTAATTTATATAAGCAATGGTGCCTAACATCTACCTCTAGTACCAAATTATCAATACTTAGTTTCTAATTATTAATTATACAGGGTGTCCCACTCAGGAGTACAACTTTAAAAATGCAAATTACTCGCAAATGTACGAACGTAAAGGTGAGCTGTAAGAACTAAACATGCCTGTATTTAGTGGAAAAAACTCCACATTACAAAAGGTACTGAAAATGCCCTTCCCCAATGTCTGCTCAGAAGGAAACATGACACTCCATATTTGAGAATGTCCTCTGCAACATGTCACTGTCGATGGCAGCAATTTCACGCTTGATGTTTGCTTTCAGTTGTTCGATGGTCCTGAGTTTGCTTACATACATCTTGCCCTTTAAATATCCCCATAGAAATAATCTGGGGTAGTTAAATCAGATGATCAAGGTGGCCACAAACCTTTAGAGATTACCCTGTCTCCAAAAAATGATCGGATCTTTTCCATACTGGCTTGAGAGGTATGGCACGTTGTTCCATCCTGTTGGAAGTAACCTTCTTGAAGTTTGTAGTCGTCCAGTTGTTTCACAGATTTGTCAAATAGGGACAAGTATTGGTTGGTGTTTGCAGTCTTGTCAAAGAAAATTGGACCAATGATCCGAGAACAAGAAATCGCGTACCACACTCTGATCTTCGTTAAATAAGGAATATTTTGAACCTTGTTGCATGATGATACATGCAAGCGTTTGTGAGTAATTTGCATTTTTAAAGTTGTACTCCTGAGTGGGACACCCTGTAGCATAATATTAACCCTATTATGGCAATTGTTTGGCTTAGTATCAATACATTGGGTTTTGGGATGTTGATATATTTATTGGTTTATTTATTATTATTCTAATAAGAAAAAATTTTATAAAACTTTTTATTGGAAAATAAATTATATAATATTAACAGAAATTTTTATTTGCTGAATTCTTAAATTATACTCATAAAACTACTCACAAATGGTAGATTTGATGAATGTAATAAAAATAGCCTTATCTTCACACCAGCAAATAGTTTAAAGAGTATACAAAGGTTTTCAACCTATTAATAAACTTGCATCAGGTTGATGATTGTATACATTCTATTATATATGAGTTCTAACATGAACATTACAAAATTCAACTTCAGAACAATTTTGAAATTTACAAGCATGTTCAATACAAAAATAAATTATATGATAATGTGCAATTTAGTAAAAATTAAAAAAAGGTTTTAATTTTTGGTTCAGTGTTACAAATATACATTTTCTTTAAAGCACTGAAAAAGGTGGAAAATAATACAAACACATACATAACATTTTTGATCACTTTCAGAGACCTTCACTGGTTATTATATATTTTCATAAATCATATGCAATTACTCAAACAACTATTTAAAAAAAGGAATATAAGAAAATAAAAGGATGTTCTATATGTAATGTAATGCTATTCAAATTAAAAAAAAAATTTTTTTAATGTTTCTGGAGTTTTTTAATGATACTGAGGTCCAAGATGCCATTGAAGATGGTTCTACAGCCAATCACATAATTTCTTCACTCAGGGTATCCAAAATCTAGTGATGCACTGGAACACTTGCTTGAACTGACAAGGCAGCTATGTATAGAAGATATATAGTCTATGTATCAGTATTACTTTCTATATGTTTACATATACCAACCAATAAGCCATTACAGGAAAAAAACCAAAAGTCTGTCTTTCATTTGGGCAACCCTTATATTAAATTCATCATTGAATCATTTCATAAATTTGAATTTAAGTCATCTATAGTGTCAAAATAAATTATGAATAAGCACATTTAACTACTTTTTCACATAATTATGTTCATGTTACATTATAAGTATTCATTCAAAATTAAAATTAATTGCTTTTTATAAAAAGTATTATTTTCAAATGATCATATTAAATAACTACCAAATTATATTAGAAAAAAAATTTTTTTTTAATAGTGTAACTTTCAATCTGTAACTAAAAAGATATTATTTCATTATTATTTTCTTTTATTTATTTAATTTTTCAATTTACTTCATTTTTCGCAAATTATTATTACAGGTTAGCACAACTTTTTAAAGCAGGAATGTTAGCTGGTGTTTTTACAACTGCAATAATGACACCAGGTGAACGAATTAAATGTTTATTACAGGTAAATGGACTTTAAATTTACAAACTTTAATATAATTTTTTTGTAAAAAATTTCTACAATGGAATAATTTTGTAATGTTATTTTTTTGTTGATCAATATTAAAATATATAAATGTAATGTAATGTGAAGTTTGATCAGTTGATCAGGGAGGCAAGTTGGATGGTGTATTGTTTTGTAAATAAAAATAATTTCTATATGTCTATTGTTTTATAATTATATCACTGTAGTACTACACCACAAATCAATTATATTTCACATTACATTATATTTATACATTTATTTTTATGTTTTAACATTATTAATAAACCTCATTTTTTAAAATATTTCACTTAGTCAAATGTTTTACAAACTTTGTAAATTTCTTCATTTAAAATCTTGTAACCTATACTTTTTTTGTTATATACATTCAGTCTCTAGAATATTAAGAGTAAATACCTTTTTATTAATTTTGTTGTATATTTTTCTTTAATGCATTTCTTTATTTTTCCTAGGTTTTCATCAATAATCCATTCGTAAACAATTGGCAAAATCTGAAACTGACAAAAACCTAGGCAATTATTTCCATATGAATTAATATAAATCCATTGAATTCATTCTAGACAGTCCAAAATACATACCAAAAACACATTTTATAGAGAATATAGTGTTTAATACTAAAAACAATAAGAAATTAATATAAAATGAATATAAAAGACTAATATGATAGCCTCCAAAACAGAATCGCCATGTAACTGTTTTTGATTGATCCAAATTCATAATAATTGTTTGACATCTTCAATTGTTTGTGATCTCTGTTTCATTAACACATTCATGCCTTTTGCTACATTAGCCTCCTTTATTGCTTCCTTTTTTGCCACAATGGAACTTATCATGGATGGCGACTTTCTGTACATGTGACTGATTTCAGCAATCTTAATGTTGTGCTCATATTTTTCAGTGATTTCCTTCAACTTGATCAAGTTCCTGGCCTTTTTCTCTGAAGGGCTGCTGGCTCTGAAAACTTTCTTTGGCTCTATGATGGAGCTAGAGGGAAAGGAAAGCAATGGAATTATTTGACTAGATGCACAGGGTAATGCTCACACAACTGAGCAGGAAAACATATGGGTCACCCTTTGTTTTCACAAAATTAGCAGTGAGGTCACATGGGCACGCCAATGAAATCTGAGGCAACCAACTATAACCAAAGTCAATGAAAATTGAGATATTACTGTACTTATAACTGATTCAAGAAAAATATATTAATACATATACAAAATTTTTAAACTTGTGTTCTCTTATTTAAAAAAATGTTTTGTTTAAAATTTTGTTTTTTATGATTTTTTTAATAATAAAATCAGAAATAACAATTACTATTTTATAAAATGTTTTTAAAATGTAATTAATGTTAAAATTTATAAACATTCAATATTGTTAATTTTGAAAGTTTATAAATTATTTTTAATTGAAGTTTTATGAATTTATTGGAGAATATAATATACTTTTCAATATATTTAGATTCAACAAGCATCTGGAGATAAAAATGTTAAATATGCTGGACCAATTGATTGTACAAAGAAACTTTATCAAGAAGGTGGAATTAGAAGTATTTATAAGGGAACTGCAGCTACATTACTAAGAGGTAATATCTTGTTGCCTAATCTCTTTTTTTTATATGTTTGATGGTAAATGGGTTAATAAAAATATGAAAATAATACAATTATTTTGAGTGTAGTTATTTATTATTGTATTGGCCTAAATATAAGTTGATTCCAAATTTTAAAATCCTTACTTTTTGGAAAAAAAAGAACCTGAATATAAGTTAACCTTTTATTATTGATTTTATTGCATATGAAAAGTTAGCAGTTTGCATTAAAAATTTTGGAAAGTCAAGAAAGTCATTTGAAACAACACTTTATCACTTTCATGTTCATCAGAACTTTCATTGCCCTCTTGGTCTTCAGTCTCCTGGAACAGATCATCATCCTCTGTTATGTCCAAGTTGATGGTACAAATTTCTTAAAGCCCTTTATAATTGTCTTTACCAACAATCTTTCATAATCATAGTTATTCTAACTTTTACTGGAATATGTGGAATTTTTATTACTTTTTTATCTATGTGATTGATTGTGAAAATTAGACATGTTCAATTCTATTTCTTTCTTTTCAAAATTACAATAAAGTTTGATATCTATCTGCTTATAAGTACAAATTCAAAAAAAGTCAGCATAAATGAATTTTTGAATGTTCTTTTAGAAATTTTTAAAAACTGCATTTAAATCATACCTAGTTGATCAGAAAATTGTGTTCAAAGGATTTGTTTTATAGAAAGATTATTGGACATCTATATTATAAGCAACAAATTATAACTTATTGCTTCTTCTTTGTTATCTTTTTTAAATTTATTAATTTCATTTTTATTGATAGTGATAGTTATAGAGCAAAATTGAAACAATTTCTTATGCACCAGAAATTGAAACAATTTCTACAGCATATACATTATGACTATTGAAAATGAAACAAACTTTGTTTCATTTTCTTTTGTCTTGTTTTTTTTTATAAATGTCTAAAACATTCTTTTAAAGCCTAAAACATATAATCATATCAATATACAAAAATATAATTAAAATAGAAATTTATACTTTACAATAGAATAAATTTTGTAGTAAATTTTCAGCAGCCTTCCCCCAATTTTTGACAATCTCTCAATTAATAGAGACTCCTAGGAGCAAGATAAAAAGTAACAAAATTAGAATATCTGTTGAAGTTATGAAAACTGATTGATTTTATCAAATACAGTCGACCCCCCTATAAGATCATTGATTTTTCTGTTTTATCTGAATTACATGTTGTACGAGTCACTTAGATTTTACAAATACGTGTGCTGGGCTGTGAACGGCTCACATATTTGTAAAATCTAAGTGACTCGTACAACATGTAATTCAGATAAAACGGAAAAATCAATGATCTTATAGGGGGGTCGACTGTACAATAAAAACAATTTGCTTAGATTAGTTGATTGTTTACAATCACACCAAACAATTCCCACTCATTGTTTGCATGCTGCAGCATGACAAGTCAAATACATAAAATCATCAATAATACAATAACTTTTATTTGTTTATGTTTTTATAAATCAGATTTTTACAAACTTTTAAGAAATATTAACACATACTTTATAAATATCGTAAACTGAGGTTACTTTGTGACATAACACCAGAATGACTTATTTTGGATGTAGTGGGTTATATCCATTTCAAAATTTATTTGTGAGTAAGATATCAACAGCTTATACAGTGATGTTATCTGAAAAGCATAGAATGCAGTATTTCCCACCATTAGTATTCCTTCTGATAACAAAAAAATCAATTGATGTATGAAGTGTTTGGTACTTTGTTCAGCTGTAAGAAAACTTTTATCCAAATGGGGTCCAGCTTTCCCTTTAAGTCCTCCCGGAAGGAGCTACTATAATACTCCTGCAGGGTATTATAGTATTTCCCTCTAAATTACTATTCCAATCTTGCTGGAGACTATTATCAATGGATTGCTCATCACTACCTTCTTTTTTTCAGGAGCCTTGAGTAACCCAGAAATTTCTGTTAGGTTTGGTTGGTTAGATCTCACAATCTGCAAATTTTCCTATTCATCTAAATTTCCTCTTATGTGACACATGAATACAGTAAGTTGAAAGCACAAACATATAAAAATAACATGCAGAATAAAGCCTGAAACAGAACATATACACCTAATTATATGGCCTTTCTAGGGACAATTATGAGTCCATTCTGAGACTCCTTCTACTTATCAATCAAACAATACACTCTTCTGATACATAACACTTTCTGGACTTTTAGTGCTCTCTGAGCAGAAAAGGGACAAACCTCAAAAAAAAAAAAAAAAAAAAAAAAAATGTAAAGTTGTAAGAAAACAAAAATAGTTGATGTATTAAAATTATGTTCAAGTTAAAGTATTTTTCTTGTTTATAATTATCTATAAAGACAGTTAATTTTTATTAATTTGTTAGTTTGTGTAAATTAGAGAATAAATTTCATAGAGTTGAGGGGTTACTTTGTGCCAGTATACAAAGAATGTGATGAAAGTGTAGGGAGTGAAATTACAGATTCATGAGATGCAGACAGTAAAATAAGACATTCCATATAATGGAGATTTAGCGTAGAAAACAAAAATAAAGTGATAATCATGTAGTTGTAATTTTTGAAGAGAGATACTACTTTGGAATTATAATAGAAGAGAGAAAAAGATGGTGCACATATAAATGCAGTGGAGTCTATTGGAAAATATTGGTAATGGCCTGAAGACAAAAACAAGAAATGGCTAAGTTGCCATCTGGATCATTTTATTTTATTGTTCTCTTATTCTTGAAAAATGATTTTTTACATTCAATATCACATTGTCAACAAGTTTCATGTTTCTGGTAATAAAAAATAAGATTTACTGTTTATTGAAGGATTAAAAATTGTTTGTTTTGTGAAAATTAATAAAAATCAGTATTTATAATGAATGAGTTTTGTTTCCCCCTTTTCTTTCTTTTTTTCTCAATTGTCATGGAGTAACATTGTGACATGGAATTCACTATAAATTTATGCAACAAACAGGCTGTCACAAAGTTACCCCAAATGACAGTAAAATTGTTACAAATATTTTTCACAATGTTGTGTAAAATAATAAATTAACAATTAAGAACTCTACGTGTAAAGAAAAGGGAATATTAAATCTTCATAAAATGACAACAATATGTTTGGTCCAATAATCTGGTAATTAATATTAAAAAAACATGAAAATTATCACAAAGTAATCTCAGTTTTATCGATATTTAAAACTTTTTAACCTTCATTGCTCATTTGATGAAATATAAAATTTTAATATTCTCATTTAATTTTTATGTATAAAAAACAATATTAAATACCTCAATAACTGGTGTATATTTTCTAAAAACTTACCAGTATGCCAAACCAGTTAAACAAACAATGAAAATATTTAATATAAATATTCTTGTCCCTATCAATTGGACATCTTCAGGTTACATAAGAGCAGAATATCAAATTGAATATAGAACTTGAATTGTTAAATGACCAAGGTTTGGGCATGCATTGAACTTAAAATTCAACTTGAGTTCTATATTCAATTTGGTATTCTGCTCGTATGTAACTGAAGATGTCTGATTGATATGGATAAAAACATTTGTTATATTAACTATTTCTGTTGTTTGTTTAATTGGTTTGGTGTGCTGTGGTTTTAGATTTTAAAAAAAACGGTACTTTTTTGCATTTAAAAAGCAAATCATTATCATTTTGCTTTACAACATTTTACATAATTATTTATTTAATAAAATGTAATTATTTAAAAAAATAATTATTGAATAAAAGATATGATGTGATAGGTTTGTAATTATATATGAAATCAAGCCAGATTTATTACAAGGCTACATTTTAACTAATTAAATATACAAATGCTATGTAATTTGGATGAAACAAAGGTGATTAACTTGTTGTTTTGTGTTAAATTTAATAATTACTATTAAATTTAACAAGAATAGTCTGAAAGAAACTGTTGATCTGGAGTGGCACTCAAACCTATAACTTCTGCTTACCCTGTAGATGCATTGCAAATTGCACTACCTGAATCTCTCTGATTTTTGCTTACAGAGTAAATTAATTTAGGAGATATAACCATGTAGATCACTCACTGATAATATGTAAAATGTGGCTTGATAATAAATCTGTCTTGGTTATTTGATTCATAATAGGCTTGACTTAATAACGATTGCTTGCAATTCAGAATTATTGGGATTAGATCTTTATTTCATAATTTATTGTTCTATGTAAAGAGTAATAAATTACGAAATATAGGTCACTGGGTGAATTATGTGAATTGCTTTGGAAGTCTTTAGCTGAGATGTTATTATAGAATATGAATCTAAATCTGATAATTCTGAACAATTAGTAATAGTTTTGCTCGGACAATACTTTCTATTACTATTTTGCAGATCAGATTTTTATATATAAGTTATATTTTTGAAAGAAAACTCAAAAACTAAAAAATTTTTAAATGAAATGAAAATTTTATTTTTGTTATTTCATTCTAAAAGTTTATTTAAAATTTTTTCTACATAAAAGCAAGATAAACACATGTAAATAAAATTTAATTGTACAAAAATTATATTCATAAATTTGATAATATAATAAAATCATTTATCTGCCAGAAAATTATTTTATACTACATCTAAGATTATAGGTTAAAGTTTTTGAATGGGAATTAAATTTCGAGTTTCCGATAATCAAATGTTAAGGTTTCATTTGATAATTTTTATCAATAAAGTTTCACAAATATGTAAATTTCTCTACAAAAATGTAATTTATGTAATAATTTTAATTTTAATAATATCTGACTATAGCATTTAAAAAAATACTTTAATATAAATAAGTGTTATAGTATATTTAATAATAATTAATATATTAATACAGTAATTAATGATGATCAAATATTCAAATATAATTATATCTATGAAAAACTTTGCAAATTTTCCTTGAATTTCATTTAAAAAAGTAAAATTTGGTTGTTAAATTTAAACTAAATTGTTATAATTTAATAAATGACTGATTTTTAATCATTTTAGTTAACTTGAAAAATTATTTTAAGTTTAGCTAATTAGCTTATCTTTTGAAAATGAAACTATTAATTTGAAAAACATTAAATCAAAAATTTGACTTTGGGAAAAGTTAGTATTTATTTTATAAATTAATTTTTTAATTTGAAATATAACTATATTAATAATAATATTTTTAACTTATTTTTTTTACGAAGTTTTTCTAGTAATTAAAAAAAATATATGTTGCATGGTTTCTTAATGGAAATTGGAAAGTATTGTTCACAACTTTAGCATTTGATTATCAAAAATTTATGATTTTTTTTAATTATCCTAATGTTATATAAGCCTATAAAATTTTTATTTATTTTTTTTTAATTTTAAAGTATTTCTGGATAACTGATATTTCTGTTATGTTAAATAAATACTTTTTTTTATGAAGAATGAATTGTTTCATTACATTTTAATATTTTTATGGCTTCAAATACATTTCTTCCCTGAAATTTATTTGGATATTCACATCTTGGTATAATTCTTTTATCGTCTTTATAAATTGTTTCAAAATCGGAACAGCTTGAATTTTTTGCAGAATTACAAGCTTTAGATATGGTATACGATACTTTTGCTGTTAAATTTCCTTTCCACACTAACATACTGCATGTGCAATTCCATGGATTTGCATCTAATCTCAAAGCTTGAAGTGATACAATTTGAAATATTTCCTCAGATAATACAGTTAATTTATTTTGACTTAGAATTAATTCTTTTAGTGATTTAAGAGGTTGAAGAGAGTATTCTGAGATATATCTAAGTTGATTATAAGAAAGATCTAATGACAAAAGATGATAAAGCCCCTGAAAACTGTTATTCGATATCTTTCTTAGTTTACAGTTATGTAATACTAATTTTTTCAATGCTTTATGTGCGCCCATGAAAGCTTTATCTCCTAATACCATAATTCTACCATTCAGATTCAAATGCAGTAATGAGTTTAGACCATAAAACATATGTTCAAGTAAAATATCATTATCGACATTTGGAATGTGTAAAAATATCAAAGATTGTAAACCTCTAAAGCTAAATTTCATTAAGTGTGTTGGTTGTTGACTATGTCCTAATGTCAATCTTTGAGTGCTGTTTAACAATTGAAAACAATGTGGAAAAATAACTTTTATAGGATTATGTTTTAACTCTAACCATTGAAGTTTTGGAAGAGATGGAAAAGTAAGACTCGAGAGATGATCCAAATGATTATTACTCAGGTCTAAAATTTCTAATTTGCGTAAACCAATGAATGCATTTGACTGAACTGAAAATAAATCATTATGCGATAAAAACAGTCTTTTTAATTCTGGCGCTCCATAAAAAGAAAAGTCACCAAGTTCTTTAATTCCACTGTGTATGAAATGGAGTTCTTTTAAAGATTTTAATCCTTCTAACATTTCCCATTTAACAACACCTATATTGCAGTTAATTATCTGAATAATTTCTAAGACTTGTAAATTTGAAAATAATTTTTCTACATTTCCCAAATTAATTTGCTGTAAAGATAAGAATTTCAAATGCGGTAATACATGAAAAACTTGTGATGATAGTTTCAATTTTTTTTTGTTTCCTTCTCCTTGTAGATCTATCCCTTGTAGGCTTTGAAGATGCGATATCATTTCAGGTAATAAAGTATTATACGAGACTTCGGTATTTTGCAAAACTGTCAAAATTTCAGTATCTGTAGGAACATTTTGAAACATTTGTAGTAACTTTGTTTCTTTCTGAACAGTACAGAGTGCAAGTTTCACTTCTTGATTAGTAAACCATCTTGACATCAAAGTAGACTTTGACAAACTGGTAATTGGACATTGGCATTCATGAGGGCATTCTTTTTTCCATTTTACAGGATAAGGATTTGCCTTAAAGAATAAAATTTTTTATTAATAATATAAATTTTATAAATATGTAATTCATTGTATTGTACAGTAAAACTTTTCCAAAACAGAACCTTAATAAAGAAAAAAAAATGCCTAAATGGAAAAATTTGTTAGGAATGCAGTGATTTTCTGTGTTTAAAAAAAACTTGTTCAAAATGGAAACCTGCCAAACTGGAAAAAATATTCAGTACTGTATGAGTCCAGTTTACACAGGTTTCATTGTATAGCATATTGAAATTAAAGGCTAAAAGCAATTGATTATTCCATTATATTGAAATACAGGTATACCTCGAATTATGCCGTTTTGAGTTTCATCATTCTTGATTATACATCGTTTGTCAAAAAAATATATGGAAAAATAAAAATCAAGTTTAAGTCATTTTATTTGACTTTATGTCTGTCCACCACAAATATTGAAATCATAATATCACTAGAAAAGTGTTAAAAGCACATAAAGTCATATTAAAATACATACATTTACAGTAAATGTTAATATAATCATCATAAATCGTAGAGAACGAAATATGAAAATATCTGTGACTCTGTGTTGTCGTCATATAGCTGGTATTTTCAACGGTAGTTCCAATATCTACGGTTTGGCATCATTGTCAGTGCCACTCGATATTGGTAAATTTAACAAATTTTGAAATCCATTTAACATTAAATAAATTTATTTTTTACTATTGCAAAATAATTTTAATAACTGTATTTGTTATTTAACCTTACAAAATCATCTTATTTTATAATGTCTTAGAGCAAACCACATTCACAAATAAAGAGTCTGTGATGTACTGTAAACATCGCCAAATTGTAAACATGCATGTTTACAAGTATGTACTGTATGCACATGAATTCATAAATTTAGATTACTTTTTTTCCTGTACTATATTAAAAACTAAAATTTATTTGTTTGTAAGCTTAAAATAGATTCTTATTAATCATATATTATTAAAAATGCATTTATAAATAAAATACAGAACTGGGAATGGTATTTGTGGTTTTGCCTAGTGACAAGTAAATTCGACTTACATCATTTTTCGACTTAAGTCGCCTCTCCTGGAACCAATTACTGATGTAAGGCGAGGTATACCTGTAAATAGTTCATTTGTTTCATGAAACATAGGTCTGAAAATGTTTCTTTCTTACTTAAACTTTTCTTTCCTTACATAGTTGCATTTTTTCTTGTATATCCTAGCCGGCATAGCTTTACAAAATAACAATATCTTCTAGTTTAATTACTGGTACCAATGAACACCATGAACCTTTAATTCTGGTAACATAGTGTTACCAGAAGCATACCTTAGGTAAGATCAAAAGCATTAGTTTGATATTGTATTAAATGCTATGTTACTGGAATTAAAGGTTAATTGCATGAAAGAGGTTAAGTCATGGTGTTATTTTTTCTTGAAACATACGAATTTAAGGTTTTAACTTCTTTTTCAAATGTAGATTGATAGGATTTTAATAAATTTGAATAATGTAATTTTCTAGAATAAATTTTGAAATCCATTTAAGATTAAAAAAAATCAGTTTATAAAAATTTAATTTTGAAATTTAAACAGTTTTAAATTCAAAATAAAAATAACAATTACAAACTACCTCTTGTAAAAAAAATATAAATTAATATTGGTTTTAATTTACAGTATTTAAAATAATATTATATAATGTATGTTAATTAAAATGTTATAATTATATGGCTTTTAATCAAGTAAAGAAAAATGTTAACTTTATTATTAATTTAAATGCCATTATTTAGAATGTAAAAAAGAATATATAATTAAAATTTTAAAAAATATAAATTTCATATGTTAATGTTATAACTACCTGNTAAACCTCTAAAGCTAAATTTCATTAAGTGTGTTGGTTGTTGACTATGTCCTAATGTCAATCTTTGAGTGCTGTTTAACAATTGAAAACAATGTGGAAAAATAACTTTTATAGGATTATGTTTTAACTCTAACCATTGAAGTTTTGGAAGAGATGGAAAAGTAAGACTCGAGAGATGATCCAAATGATTATTACTCAGGTCTAAAATTTCTAATTTGCGTAAACCAATGAATGCATTTGACTGAACTGAAAATAAATCATTATGCGATAAAAACAGTCTTTTTAATTCTGGCGCTCCATAAAAAGAAAAGTCACCAAGTTCTTTAATTCCACTGTGTATGAAATGGAGTTCTTTTAAAGATTTTAATCCTTCTAACATTTCCCATTTAACAACACCTATATTGCAGTTAATTATCTGAATAATTTCTAAGACTTGTAAATTTGAAAATAATTTTTCTACATTTCCCAAATTAATTTGCTGTAAAGATAAGAATTTCAAATGCGGTAATACATGAAAAACTTGTGATGATAGTTTCAATTTTTTTTTGTTTCCTTCTCCTTGTAGATCTATCCCTTGTAGGCTTTGAAGATGCGATATCATTTCAGGTAATAAAGTATTATACGAGACTTCGGTATTTTGCAAAACTGTCAAAATTTCAGTATCTGTAGGAACATTTTGAAACATTTGTAGTAACTTTGTTTCTTTCTGAACAGTACAGAGTGCAAGTTTCACTTCTTGATTAGTAAACCATCTTGACATCAAAGTAGACTTTGACAAACTGGTAATTGGACATTGGCATTCATGAGGGCATTCTTTTTTCCATTTTACAGGATAAGGATTTGCCTTAAAGAATAAAATTTTTTATTAATAATATAAATTTTATAAATATGTAATTCATTGTATTGTACAGTAAAACTTTTCCAAAACAGAACCTTAATAAAGAAAAAAAAATGCCTAAATGGAAAAATTTGTTAGGAATGCAGTGATTTTCTGTGTTTAAAAAAAACTTGTTCAAAATGGAAACCTGCCAAACTGGAAAAAATATTCAGTACTGTATGAGTCCAGTTTACACAGGTTTCATTGTATAGCATATTGAAATTAAAGGCTAAAAGCAATTGATTATTCCATTATATTGAAATACAGGTATACCTCGAATTATGCCGTTTTGAGTTTCATCATTCTTGATTATACATCGTTTGTCAAAAAAATATATGGAAAAATAAAAATCAAGTTTAAGTCATTTTATTTGACTTTATGTCTGTCCACCACAAATATTGAAATCATAATATCACTAGAAAAGTGTTAAAAGCACATAAAGTCATATTAAAATACATACATTTACAGTAAATGTTAATATAATCATCATAAATCGTAGAGAACGAAATATGAAAATATCTGTGACTCTGTGTTGTCGTCATATAGCTGGTATTTTCAACGGTAGTTCCAATATCTACGGTTTGGCATCATTGTCAGTGCCACTCGATATTGGTAAATTTAACAAATTTTGAAATCCATTTAACATTAAATAAATTTATTTTTTACTATTGCAAAATAATTTTAATAACTGTATTTGTTATTTAACCTTACAAAATCATCTTATTTTATAATGTCTTAGAGCAAACCACATTCACAAATAAAGAGTCTGTGATGTACTGTAAACATCGCCAAATTGTAAACATGCATGTTTACAAGTATGTACTGTATGCACATGAATTCATAAATTTAGATTACTTTTTTTCCTGTACTATATTAAAAACTAAAATTTATTTGTTTGTAAGCTTAAAATAGATTCTTATTAATCATATATTATTAAAAATGCATTTATAAATAAAATACAGAACTGGGAATGGTATTTGTGGTTTTGCCTAGTGACAAGTAAATTCGACTTACATCATTTTTCGACTTAAGTCGCCTCTCCTGGAACCAATTACTGATGTAAGGCGAGGTATACCTGTAAATAGTTCATTTGTTTCATGAAACATAGGTCTGAAAATGTTTCTTTCTTACTTAAACTTTTCTTTCCTTACATAGTTGCATTTTTTCTTGTATATCCTAGCCGGCATAGCTTTACAAAATAACAATATCTTCTAGTTTAATTACTGGTACCAATGAACACCATGAACCTTTAATTCTGGTAACATAGTGTTACCAGAAGCATACCTTAGGTAAGATCAAAAGCATTAGTTTGATATTGTATTAAATGCTATGTTACTGGAATTAAAGGTTAATTGCATGAAAGAGGTTAAGTCATGGTGTTATTTTTTCTTGAAACATACGAATTTAAGGTTTTAACTTCTTTTTCAAATGTAGATTGATAGGATTTTAATAAATTTGAATAATGTAATTTTCTAGAATAAATTTTGAAATCCATTTAAGATTAAAAAAAATCAGTTTATAAAAATTTAATTTTGAAATTTAAACAGTTTTAAATTCAAAATAAAAATAACAATTACAAACTACCTCTTGTAAAAAAAATATAAATTAATATTGGTTTTAATTTACAGTATTTAAAATAATATTATATAATGTATGTTAATTAAAATGTTATAATTATATGGCTTTTAATCAAGTAAAGAAAAATGTTAACTTTATTATTAATTTAAATGCCATTATTTAGAATGTAAAAAAGAATATATAATTAAAATTTTAAAAAATATAAATTTCATATGTTAATGTTATAACTACCTGAAGCCAAGTCTTGGTTAAAAACAAATAACAATCTATTAATATCAAATTTTATCCATATAAAACAAGCTTTATTCAAGTCACAAGTAGATAAAGCTGACAGTATCCAAAAATAGATAGATGAAGCAAAAACAACAAAAAATTTGGCTTATCCACCCCATTTTGGATAAAGTAAGAAGATTTAGGGTTTTACTTTAGACAGGTAATTTGTGATCTTTCCAGTTCAGGTTGGATGGATAAAGAAGAAATTTTGTTTTAATCTAAGATCTGCTACTTCACAAACCAAAGAACCAGCAATAGAAAAGAAGTGAATGTATTTGTCTATTTTTAGAAATCAGACAAAAAAAATAACACTCCAATACTGATTAATTAATATTAACTAAGTTTAACTAAAAAATGTCATAGCTTTAAAGCTATGATATTTTATGGATTTAACTTTAAAGTAACAAAAACAAATATGGTATTTTGATGTACAGAATACTGATATACATTAATCTTAAGTGGCACATATGAATGGATGATCATAGTAATAAATATAATTGTGAAAAAAAAAAGATCCTTCAGTTAAGCTTTTATAGTTTTTTAAATTATTTTAATTTTTATCATTGTGACAGCCTCAAGTAAAGGTTGTATGTATGTCAAATAAATAAAGATTGTTTATATGGTCCTGTATGTGTTCCAAAAGGACTTTTAAGATACCTACCTATTTTTCTGTTTATCTTCAATTGTATTTATTAACGTAATGTATCCTAGTTTCCATAAGCCCCCTCTTTGGACATCCAGCAAAACTCGACCCCCTCCTCTTTCCCTCGTCTGACTTGTGATAATCCCCCTCTACCTTCCAGTATGGATGTCATTTATGGGCAGCCCCAAAGTACATTTTATATGGATAAAGTTCAAAATTAATATTAAATTGTTACTTTAACCAAAAATTTTAGATAGAGATAGCATTATCTGCTCAATCCTAGCTTTAATTGTAACTCATAAATATTTCAAGTACTTTCACTTTTAATCATCTAAAGCATTGTAGAAATTCATATCTGATGATGATTTAAATCAGGGGTGGCCAAACCATGGCGCATGCGCCAAACTTGGCGCATTGGACGTTTACAAGTGGCGCTTTAGTCAGTTCTGAGCAACATTGCCAGATTTGGCTTCTTTGCAATTAAGAATATTACATAGAAAATTAATTTTTTATAGTCTGTCTTGGCAAGTTCATTTGTTGCACAATTCGTTGCAATCAACTTTACAGATAAAATGAGTGTTCTCCACATAGTAAATTACAGTGTATGCATGTATGTTTATTTTCGATCAGTGCATAGGCGTCTAAATGACAGTGCTACCGTCCGGACAGTCCACGAGTCGGTTGGACTGCTACACCTTTTTTTTTTTTTTTTTTCTTCTACGATTCACGATACATTCGCAATCGTGTATGCCACTAATGTCAAACGGGACTATTTTGTACGGGTAACTACACCACCACCGCATTTTTTATTAATTTTTTTTTCACACAACTGAATTTTGATCTTTTAAATTGAAATACCTGATTAAAGGGTGGCCGAAATTTTTCTCCGCCCCGGGCGGCTAACACCCACGGTACGCCACTGCGCATCTGAACTCGTCTATCAAAAAATTGGCGCATGGTATGCAAAAGGTTGGCCACCCCTGATTTAAATGATTTAAAGCAAAAGTATTTGAAATGTGTATATTTTTTAATAATGTAAGAAATCAGATTCATGTTACTAATCAAATAATCAAGCTAGCTTTATTATCGGGCTACATTTTGGCCAATTAAATATACAAATGCTATGTAATTTGGACTAAGTAGATGATTAAGTTGTCATCTTGTATTAAATTTAATAATTAGAATTAAATAAATAATTTAGAATAGTCTAGAAGAAAAGATTGATCCAGAGTGAGACTTGAATCTGCAACTTCTGCTTACCCTACAGATGCATTGCCAATTTACTACATAGATCACTTGATGATGTATAAAATATACCTCAATAATTCCAGATAGTGTTTTCTTTCAGAATATTCTAAATTATTTAATTCTCATTATTAAATTTAATACAAGATAGTGACTTAATTATCTACCTTTGGTACAAATTACACAGCATTTGTATATTTAATGATAAATCTGGCTTGATTTATTTGATTAGTATATTTTTAAAATATTTTATTCAGTTTTAATTTAAATTGAATTGCAGAATTGTGTATATTTCTATGTTAATGCATTTATTAATACAATAGATAATGAACAGTCATATTTTTTATATTTTTAAGAGGTTTGATGTCTTATATTAAGTTGTAAGAAATATAACATTTGTACTTAAATATTCATTGTAGTAATATATTTAATTTAGTTTTTTATTGAGGGGAAAATATCTCCAAATTTAAATAAATGAAAATTAAATTAAAATATTATGTTATTTGATTGACTAATGCTTTATTTATTTGTGGAGAAAGATGATTAAATTTAAAAACTTATTCTATTTTTTGTTTTTAAGTTAAAATGATTCATTTTTAGCTTAAAAATGAAACTCTTGTTATAATTTTTTAACTTTTATTAGAAATATATTTGTGGTTTTTAGAAATTTTATAAAAATAAAGTTTAAGCTTATTAGCTGTAAACAAAATTCAGTAATAAATTAGAATGAGTTTATACTTTTTTCAACCATTACAAGTAAGCAAATGTAAGAGAATTTAGCCTAAAAATTTAAATATTAACAATATATTTATTTATAAAAGATCAGATTTATTTGATGTATATAAACATCAAATCAAAACCCAATTTCTAGTTAAACTGCCAAATTATCAGGTTATAATATGGCTGTGATTAATTAAATACTAAATAATATTTATTCAATTTTTATTGTTTTAAAGATACAATAATTTTCTATAAAAACAATAAATCTATTAATTAATTAACTATTAATAAAATTATTAGTATTAATAAAAGAACACACTTACTGATGTCAAAAGTATAATTCCTTTCAAGAACAAAACTAAAAATAAATACTGAATGTTAACCATATTTTCCTGAGCAGTTTTAAACCACTTATTTTATTAACGTAGTTTTAATTGTTTTGACACTTTAATTATTGTTTACATAGTTTTGAATTTGTTGAGCAGAATGTGTATAATGACAGTTCTTTCTAATCAAGTCTAGCAGGAAGGGGCATATGTCCTACATTCGTTACTGGTGATTAGTGATACTAAAGTCCAATTAGCAGTTACACCTTTTCCTTTTCCCCTGTCATTGGTATATTACTTGAAAACACCCTCTTGATAATTTTATTAAATAAAAACTAAGCAATTATAGTATTAAAGAAATGAAACCTTACATAGTTTAAATTTATTTATTAAAGAAACATTCAGTTTTGTTAAATATATAAGTCTTATTTTAAATTGAATTAATCAAAAATTATTTAGAAATAATTCAAATTAAAAAAAATCTTTTAAGTTAAAATTATTGTTTATCTCGATAATTGTGTTTATTGTATAGTTTAATAATTTAATCATTTTTATGGGTAATACTAATTGCTTAAAATTGCAATAAACATTTTTTTGTTTGATAAAAGTTTTAATTTTGCTAAGAATGCATTAAGAGCTACAGAAAACATTATGAATATGTTCTGGAGTTTTTAAACAGTTATTATATAAATATGAGTGAAAATATTCTGTAATATTTGTAGTCTAATCACTTGTATAAACTTTGTGTATTTAGCTAAATATATTTATTTATTTATTTATAACTTTAGTAAAAAGCAATTAAAAGAAATAATATGTTAATTTAAATATGTTAATCGTAAGATTTTAACAAATATGGTAATTTTTTAATGCATTTTGTCCCAAAAATAGAGTAATATTTTTTAGAATTAAATTTTATGTTACATGTTCCATCTCATATTAACAAGAATGTCAAGAGCTTATTATAGGACCTGAGAGTAGAGCCCTTTTACCATTTATTTGAACAAATGAAATATGTAGAATGTTTCTTTATTAATAAAAAGCAGTTCTAAAGAATTTTTTTTTGTTAGTAAAAATAACATTAATTTATAGGGACAACAACCATTATGGGCCCTTAAGTTTACTCCTGGCCTGGGAAAAATCCCCAACTCTTCTTGATGGCCTTTCATTTGAAATTATTTCATTCTAATATAGTATATATAGTATATATATATATATATAAATTNATTATTTAAAATTAGGCACTTTCTTTTAAGTGCGGAATTGAAAGAATTTTAAATAAAATAATTTTGTTATTTTTAAATTGTAAAATTCTCGGTATCATATTATAAAGTTAGAAATCCATATTTGCTACCTGAAAAAGCAGTGTGGATTTATAATTTTGTTACATAACAATTTTAATTATTGTCTTCATAAAATACTGTCTTGTCAAATTTTAATAAAATTTAACTTTCACTATTTAGTGTATATATTCTTTAAAATATTTAAATACTAAAATATCAATATGTAATTTAAATTTTCTTACTGAAAAATAATATATGTAAAAGATCCGAGTAGACTTCAGTTTTATATTTTTTAATTAAATACAAACAAAAATCATAAAACTTTTTGGACTATAAGATTATATGGTAAGTCCTTACTGAATGTCATTTTCTTGTAAAGTTGATGAGAAAGAAACACATTTGTAATCATTTACAATAATTATTGTTAAATGTTTTTTTTATAAACAATAAAAGTGATTCTCTGAGGTGGGAATTAAATACTGGATGTTGCAAATACCATCCAATAAAAAAATATTAACTAAATTCTTATCTTGAAATCTGATTTAATACAACTTACCTTCATTATATATTTAACTTTTTTCACATAATGTGAATCTATTTCCACATTAACATGTCAGACATCTTTTATTATTAGGATAAATTGTAAACAAATTTGCCCTGTTTGCATTAGCCATTTTAAATTTATACAGTGCCCTTTGTACAACCCCTGGTCAAAAGTATGGCATATTGTTCACTTTGCAGTATGCCATTCAATAGAGATTAAAGTTCAAAAAAACAGACATTAAATAATTAATTCTTTTTAACAAAATTTATTTGCAATCTTGTACACATGTAACAACAGAAAAGAGATGAAAGCATTATATAAAAAATTTAAGAAACAGCATGCTCAACACTTTAGCAACATTAGACAAAAATATGGAAGATAGTAATTAGAGACATAAGTATAAAATAAAGTAAATTAAAGCAGTAATAAATGCCAAAGGTGGTCCCAAACAGTATTAATATGCCTCAGTATTGAAGCATCTAACTTGTCATATAAGTCTGCAGGTATTTCCACCCAGCTGGTTTGAATAGTACTCTTCAATTTGGACAATAAAGCTGGTTTCTTTTTTCAAACCATTTTCTTTAAATTCATTCCACAGATTCTCTATTGGATCTTTTTATAATCTGGGCTGTTTGGTGTCATATCTAAATGTGAAATATTTTTGTTTAGGAACCATTGGTGTACTGTTTTAGCATGGTTGGAAGATGTACACTTCCAACACTTCCAACTTTATCTAGTAAGATCCAGCATCTTGCTAGATAAAGTCAGAGTCACCAAAGTGTTTCTTTGCTGTTTTTAGCACAAAATTGTCTAAAATTTCCAAGTAAACCTCTCCATTCACAGTAGTGTTGACAATTTCCAAATGTCCAGGTCCTGTTGTAGTCATGGCAATCAAAACCATAACTCCATTTGTAAATTTTGCTTTTGAAAGAAGGCATTCCGATAGAAACTTTTCAATGGGTTTTCTCCAAAATTTACTACCATTGTTATCTCCATATACCATGTAAATACATGACTTGTCAATGAGCATAACTTGTTTCCAATACATCAAATCCCAATTCAGGTTGGCTTTTGCCCATTGCAGATGTAGTTTTTTTATGCATCTCAGTCAGATATGATTTCTGCTTTGCTTTTCTTGATATGTAGCCATATTCATTTAACCTTCTGTGAATTGTTTTTTTCAGATAAATCTGTACCAACCACTTTCCATTCAGCATTTATCTGTCTAGATGACTTAAATCTTCCTCCTCTAACGATTTTGATGAGATTTCTGTCTTCTCATGCCATAGTTATTCAGAGGTGTCCACATCTGCACTGATTGGAGACAGTTCCTTGTGCTTTATATTTAGCTATAATTTTAGATACTGCACTTTGTGTACATACATTGTACATGTTTTGCATTTATCTGCTGTTTTCACCATGCTTGTAATATGAAATTATCATCTTTTTCTTTGCATCACTCAATTCTGGTGTTTTTGGTATAGTTTTAGAATCAAATGTTAAGCATGAGTATAGTTCTGCAGATTCAATCTGAAAGTGTTATATTATGCAATGACAATGTTACTAAATTGACTTTAATATGGAGCACGCCCATCATATTCTAAACTTTTGTCCCTGCTATGCTAATATTCCATATTTTGTCTCTACTCTTGATTAGTAAAACAAATCATACTTTATTTTATAATGCATAAAACTGATTTCATTTTAGCACATGTTTATGCAAATAAAACTTATCAAAATTTATGTAAGAAATCAACAAGCAAACATTAAATATTTTTTAAAACTTCCCTTTGAAATGTTGTGATGCAGGAATTTATATTATTATTTTACACTTTTGATCAGGGGTTGTAGTTTGTCAGAATTACATGTTTTTGAACTGTGTGTTAGATGAGGTGTTCCTTCAAGTTTTGCTTTACAAACATTTATTCTGTATTTCTCATCTTTGCCCATTATCAGTGATGAAAGTTAAACCTCCCTTTCCAAACCACCTACCATTACAGCCACTGTCACTCAATAATTCACCAAAAATTGGGTAAATAATTGCTTACTTGTTCTTATTATTGTTTCTTAAATGTATATATAGTTCACATTTATTTCAATGTTTAATATTACAAGTCTTTTGAGTCTTTATTTAGAAGTTTGATGATGTTTTTGTGACCAGAAATGTACCGTAGAAATAACTTTTGTTTATATCTATTAGCTTACAATAAAATTGGTTTTGTTATACATTGTTTCATTGAATGTTATCAATTAGTTCTTGGACTTTGAGTATTTACTACACTAAAATTGTTCTTTTCTTCACCATTTTTGATATAAGTTTAATTAATGTTTAAAAGGCTTGCACACAATAAGAAATGCCTTATTCTGTCTTTAGTAAAACATGCTATACATTATTATAGATATTGAATAGTCTATAAAATCTCTCCCTCAATATGTAAGTGACAATCATATTAGGAACATTGTAGTAATATTTTTATGCATTTTATGTAATTCAATTTCTATAGTATTTTCTTATTAGAATATTGAGTTTTGTGGATATATTACTCTATTCCAGCACCCTAGCAGTTTCCTCACAGGGGCACCACAAAATGTTATAAAATTTTTATAATGTTAGAATTTGACATGGGCATCTTGGAAAATCTGCATTTAGCAAGGGTACCAAGAATTAAAAAAGTTTGGGAACCACTGCTCTATTCTATAGATGTCTGATATTTTACAATATAAAATGTCTTCACAGAAAGATTTTAGATCTAATCAATGTTTTCACTTGTATATGAAATAAAAAGATAGTCCAATTTTGCATTATTCTGTAACTCTTGCTTCTTTCATTGTGAAATGAAACTAATTACAATACTTAAATATAAATAACAAAAATTACTTAAATATTTAAATACAATAGATTGTATCCTAGTTAGAGAATATCTCAAATGCTAAATTGCCCAATCTCTTTATACAGCATGGAAATCATTTTATGAAGATAAACTGTAATTTTTACGAGGCATTAGTTTTTAATGCGATACTGTTGAGCTTTTTATTTTTATTTTATTTTTTATGTCTCTATCTCTTTGTATTCATTCCATTAAGTGCACATCATTACATACGCATGAGCAGTTATTATTTTTTCGTAATTTTAATTTATGTTCTATTTCTTTAATGTTCTTTTTACATTATCTAGTTATTTGATAATCTTTGTAGTAAGAGAAAAAAGAATTTAATTTTATTTTATGACAATCAGATCATGTCTGTAATCTTTTTCAAACAATTTGTCATGAAAGACCTAATCAATGTTTTCAGTTGTATGAGAAATAAATGTGTGGTCCAATCTTGCATCACTTTTTTGGTTGTCTGTCTCCCTTCTTCCATTTTGAAATGAAAATACTTATAACTAGTCAAGAGCAGTCAATTAACAGGATGTAAATCTTGGAGACATTTTTACAAAGTTTCAAAGAAAACTTTACTCTTTGTCCTTTATCAGAAGTTACTGTTTATAAAATAAGAGCATTCACATCACTGGCCAATAGCAGGAAAACTTTAAAATGGATTATTCAAATATTAATTTAATTATGAAGGTTCTGGAAGAAAAGAATTGGCCTGAAGCAAGACTTGAATCCACAATTCCCACTTGTAGTGTAACTTGCATATGTGGGAGTTGTAATTTGAGTCCCACTTCACATCAATTATTTTCTTCCAAAATCTTCTAAATTACTTATTACAATGCTAAATTTAATAATTATAATTAAATTAATAAGAGATGGCACCTATTGTTTATCTCTTGTGCCAAATTACTTAAAAGGAAGTTTATTTGTAAAATGTATACTTCCTCCCCCTTGGCATATAACATCAAAACTACAATGAGTCAAACTGGCACCAGAATAAGAAAATGAGTAGTTTAATTTAAAAAACAAAAACCAACTAAGTTGATGTCTGATATTTCTTTTAATAAACTCACTTTTAGAATTATACTGGCATAAATTATATTTACATTTATATAAAATCAAAATCTAAATTATCTATATTTTGATTCTTTGAATATACAGTAGAGCGTCGATTATCCAAAAGAATTCCAGTCGGCAAATTTAAATTTTTGCCAGTGCTGTGGCGCTGCAGTCTTTGGCTATGTCTTGGGCTACTCAAATATTTTACGTTTTTGATACTAAATTAACTTCTGAAGTATAATTTTTTATTGTTTTTATATTTTTCAATATATTTATTTTGTTCGTACAAAATAAAAAAAATAATTTTTAACGATACAATAGTCTTTGTTAGGCTTAACATTGACGAAAATTCAACGCGAAGCAACACGCAATGGGGAAAAATGTCAAGATGGGATAAATTAATATATTTTTTCGTACATAATCGGTTATCCAAAACATCGATCTTCCGAACAACCCCAGTCCCCAATTGATTCGGATAATCGACGCTCTACTGTATATTGAAAAGTTAGATAAAATTTACTCATGAGGAGCAGCTGTTGTTTCTTATGAGTAGAGTTTTGTTAATTGAGTTAGAAGCATGAGAATAAAATTTCCATAATCTCTTCTATTAAATTTGAGATATTTAATTAATTAAATAAAGTACCAAAATAAGTAAATAGTTGTAAAATTTAATAAATTCAAATTAAAAAATTTATTTTACTGTGTATAAATGTTGGAAAGAATAAATTTAGAATGATAGATCATTACTTCTGACCGAACGTGTTTTTTTAAATTTAGATGTTCCTGCTAGTGGCATGTATTTTATGACATACGAATGGTTACAGAGATTATTAACACCTGAAGGCAAAAGGTATTGTATAAAAGATACAAAAATTTTGAATAATGTCATATGTATTTATTTAAAATGGCTTTAATCTTCCAGTCGTAATGATTTAAGTCCATTGCGAACTCTGTTTGCTGGTGGAATGGCTGGCATATTTAATTGGATGGTGGCAATTCCTCCGGATGTTTTGAAATCTCGCCTTCAGACAGGTAAGAAAATTTAACCCGATGACTTTATTACTGTTTAAATATAATTAAATTTATTTATTTATTTCATAATTTAGCACCAGAAGGAACTTATCCTAATGGAATAAGAGATGTGTTCCGTCACACCATGAAAGAAGAAGGTTTCAGAGCATTGTACAAAGGAGCCACACCGGTTATGTTAAGAGCTTTCCCTGCTAATGCTGTGAGTATAATAATTTATTGATTTTATAGAATTATAATATTGGTAATCAAACAAATCTATTCTAGAAATGCAGGCATACTGTGGCATCTTAACTAGGCAAACTTTTATTTCCATTCTAACAATTTTTTGTAGGATACATACCATGAAATTACAGTAGCAGCAATCTTTTTGCTGCCAGAGGATGCTACTTTTGCAATTTTCAACCAAACCATTAGATTCCTTAGGTTGCACTTTGCGGACTGATTCTCAGTAACAAGCTTAACTCTTTGGCAAGTGGGCTCACCAGTCGCACCCTCTCCTGGCAGAGTGATTTATTGGTAGTTTTCATAAATTAGAATTCATGAAAAAAAACAAAAATCTTGGCTTCTGATTCATATTTTTTAATAAAATGTTTTCTTTATTTTTAAAATAACATAACTTTCTACTCTTTTCCACAAAAAATTATCAGATCAACTTTCAATTACATTGTCACTTTTCAAACATTTTATTGGCACTTCTGAACCATTGTCACTTGAGAAAGTTTGTTTTTTTTGTACATTCAATGTCTTTGGAAGCAATATTTTCTTCTTCAGATTCAATTATGTTAAACAACTTCAACAATTCAGCAGGAGACAATGACTGTTAATGTCTACTAGGTTCCAGGATTGTCTTTATGCTGAAAAATTCCATGCTAATACCATGAAACTTGGAAAAAACTTACAATGAAAAACTGGAAAAAACTTAACATGGAATAAAAACTTTCTAGACTTGTCAATGGATGTCATTAGCTGTCTGTAAGTTTCATGTTTGCCATTTTAATATCCCCGAAATTATCTTTTCAGATAAAATTTAAAGTGTATAAATCTATTCCTTACAAAGTCTACTATCCCAACCTACTTTTATCATCATCTGAACTGTAGTTTTTAGTTTCCGAAAAAAATATTCTGACTATCTGTCAATCTGCCATACGATAAAAATAGTACAAAATAAACGATCCAGTATTAATATTCTGAGGTGTACTCCCATAAATATACATTATTCAAATTTGTCTCATTGTAGTATGCCAGTACATTTACAGGCAAAGTGCAGCTTGGAATTGAGTAAATACAGCAAATAGGAAATTTCAGAGAAAAGTTAAGAAATGGCCGAAACATTCCACTTCTTGACACAAGCAATTAGAAATGATAAATAAAGATAAGTGCACATACTTGGTTAGATTGCAATGGAATTTAGAGCAAAATAAAGAGTGAAATTTTTCAGATGAGGCTTTTTTTTTTTTTAATTTTACGAATAGCATCCACAAAGCTGCCTATTATTAGAAGAGAATGTTATAAATTAGAATTCTTTGTAGTTTTGCACTAGTGTAATATGATAAATGTACACAAATGAGAGTTTTCTCCCTTTAAAAAAAGTGAATTCTATTAATGAGTGGAATGACAGGAGTTTTAGCACCTGACATTCCACTCATTAATACAGCTGAGCATTTGAGTTAGTAATCTTATCAGTTTGAGGTGGATGGGCTTCCTCTCATTGTCTTCATCCATTTGGTGCATGCACATCTATAACTTATGCAAGCTGATTTTTTTTTCTTCATCTGCTCCATTTGCATACGTGTGCACACTTAAAGAAAATGTAAATTTTTAAGGTTACTTTAGTTTACTATACAAATGAATAACTATCAGGGTAACATTTTACAAGGAATCTAATGGTTTGGTTGAAAATTGAAAAAGTAGCATCCTCTGGCAGCAAAAAAAATTGTTGCTACTGTAATTTCATGGTATGAATCCCACAAAAAATTGTTAGACTAGGCAAACTTTTATTTCCATTCTAAGATGCCACAGTATGCCTGCACTTGTAGAATAGATACTCACCTTTTAAATCACATGCTGCTATCATCTCAAATTCTTTTGCTATATTTTATTGTAAGTGTAATTATAAAATAAGTGAATATTTGAGACAATGCAGTTTAAGCAGTTCTGTCAAAAATACAAAATGATGTTTAGTAGCTATTTTATATTATTTATCATATAATATTAATAAATAGTAAAAATTTTAATGACAATGATGTCTAATGAGCAATTGACTCTCAAACTCAATATCATCTGTTGTTCATTCTAGAGAACTATAGGTTTGTACAAAAAGTAATGATTGCCAATTTTTATACACAAAATTCTGGATTTTGAGAGGAAAATGAGTATACTATAATAAATTTGTAGGCATTTCTTTATTTTTCAATGCATTTTGCCATTGTTTTGGCAATTTAAAGACACTTCTGAGATATCATTCTGTTTCATCAGTGTACAGTTTCTTGGATTGTTCCACTGTCCCCTAAAGCAATTCTTCACAAAAATAAACAAGTGATAATCCAAGGGTGTTAAATCTGGACTGTAGGAGCAACAAAAAAGAATTCCCCAGTCATTTGTCATAATTCAAAAGTGTAATGTCAGGCCATGCTTTTTGTATAGGAGAATATTGAAGATTGTGGCAAGAGACTGACTGTAAAAAACTAACTTTCCTGTTCTATCAGCATTGATCTTTTCTCAATGTTCCAGAAAAACTTTCTTTAGATATTTCTTGGCATCTCAGAAAATGAATGGCTGTGGCTTGGTTGATTGCCAATGTCTGTATTTTCAGCTTTGAAGTGTTGGACTCCTCTGACAATAACTATACTTAGAGAGGGTGTAAAGACTGTATAAAACAATTTAAAATTTTCCCATGTGTTTCTTATTAGTTCAAGCCATCATTACTGTTGATTCAACTGTTACTGTACAAAATACAATACAATAGACAATTGTTTATAAATAGTTCTCCGAAAGTCATTATACAGGCAGTAAAATTGTAATTTCTATTTAAAATTGGTAGATAAACCACAATAATGCATAACTGCTTTCAAATTGACTTTTTAATCATGGCCAACTTGAAGGACATCCTGGTAATCATTTGTGTGTAAAACATTAACATAATTTTATTTTTTATAGGCTTGTTTCATGGGATATGAAGTTGCTATGAAGTTTCTCAACTGGATGGCACCAAATCTTTGATAGTCATGATTCTTAAATGATGATATTAGTTCTAATTGAATATTAATAATTTTAAAATAAAATATATACACATATTATTTTGAAAAATTATAATCAAAATCTTTAATTTTAAAAAATTATGCCAGCACATCTACCTAGCTTTATATACTGTCCACATTGAAGACAATATTTAATCAGTGCCTTTAGTGAAAATGTTACAAATATATTGTATTTTGTACACCTTTGCAAAGCATTTCTAATAATGTACAGTTTTGCAGTTTATATCTTACAATCAATCAACAATTATTATATATATATATTAATTATATTTTAAAAATGTTGATTTCAGTGATTTGTTAAGTTTAAATATGTGATTGTTATTAAAAACTTTATATAAAATATTTGTGCTAATTTGATTTATTACAGAAAGCTGTAAATTAGAAAAGATATTTAGAGCATGCATAGTTAATTCAAATTAAAGCATGTAGTAACATTGATTCAATAAATTTTACTTTTTATAAGCGAAATAAAATTTTTATAGAGTATCAAATGCAGTCTTGATTAAAATTTATCTTTGTTTCAATGGGGGAAATATTATGTAAATCTTAAGCCAAATGTATTGAAGAATTATCATTTTGACTTGTGAAAATTTTAATTTGATCAGATACCAATAAGAATCAAACATTATTACATGTTAAAATCTTTAAAGTTTACATTCATTTCTATATAAACATAATTGTTGTGATAATCAAAAATATTTATATTCATAGAATTACATTGGTTACACAATTTAAAAAATGGCACATATAATGCAATTGTTTAAAACAAATGTAAGTATTAGCACCAACAATTTATTATTAGATCATCAATATTATTATTACATCCAATATCATACATAAAATCTCATTCATAAATTGGTTTGATTGTAGAAAACAAGATTACAAATAACTTATAACCAATTTTAGGGCATAACATTTAATCCTTGTCCAACGAAAGTCCTCCTTCTTAGACTTTGGTCTTGACTCGAATGTTTCTTTTTTAACGATTTAAAACTGAAACCAGAGTATATGTATCAATTAGAATTATATTACATTGTGCAGTTCGGTGAATCCAAATTATTACTAATATAAATACCTCAAAACCTGATAATTGTATTAAAGCCAGTGATTACAGGATTAAATTGAGTTACATTATTGCTACTAATAATTATTAAATACAGAGTAATTTGGCACTAGAGGTATATATATACACCATGGAGTAAAGCAATAGTTAGCTGAGTGCCATAGTGGGTGATTACAGGCCATGGGTGCTGAGGCATTCCTAGTGGGCACTGTGAGTAACTAGTATGGTTACATCCAATTTAAATATGTTTGGAAGCTAAGGATTGGATGGAGGTCAGGTAGCATAACTAGCAATGCATTTTGGTGCACAGTAAGTGGTAGTTGCAAGTTTGAGTCCTGCTTTGGGCCACTTCTCTTCAAGAATTTTCTAAATTTAATAAACAGATGGTGCCTAATTACTGGATTAGTAGCAGTAATGTAGTCTGATTTAATCATTTGGCTTTATCATTATTATGGAACATTGATAAAAAATTTTGTAAATCAATTCCAAGTCTAAATGTCAAATTACCAAAGTGAAAACCAAAATTTAATAAAGTACAAAGATCAATATTTATATTAAGAAATTCAAGCTTTTTCCTTAAACTTAAGTCAAAAATCAAGCAGATTAGAAATTCTCAATTATTATGCAAACTATTCAGTATTAGTGTCTGTATTTTTGATCTGACTTTTAAAAAACTGTTCATATTAATTAAAAAAAGACCAAAATTTAAATGTGAATAGTTGGTGTTTACACTGTCTGCTTGCTTTACCACAGTTATTTTAAACATCTGGGTATTAACAATTTGAAAATTAATACACTGCACATTCACTAGCCCAAACATATTTGTTTATTTCTCCACCTTAAATTTTCCAGCCAAACAAATAACTGTAAAGTAATTTGTGATTTATATCAGTTTTTTTTTCATAAACACACTCATTGATAAAAAAAAAAAAGTTACACACTAAGGAGCAGGCCTTGAACCAAATAAAACTTCAAAAACTATTGGTTTGCACCAGTGATGATGGTAAATAAATATCATAGAAAAATGTACTGTTATTTCACAAGAAACTGCCCAAATTAAATGAACTTCCTTTTATCTGGATTCCTGCGGCAATATGCTCAGGTATGGAGACACCATATGCTATCCTGCAACAGATTTTCCCACAGATATTGCAACTAGGGATTTTTTGGTTCCGAGTAATAAGACTTGATATTCAATCTAAATCTTGATGAATCACAGTCCAACATATTAAATAGAAATTACTAATAATGCTTCCAACAGTCAGTGAAAATGTAAGAAAATAGAATTTAAAATTTGAATTTTGGTGTTGTATTTCATTTTTATACTAGTTTATTATGTCACATGACAATAAATTATTTTATTGCATTTCTCAATTTTTATTTGTAATAAAACAATTAACAACAAGCAAAAATTATTATGACATCTTCACAATAGCAGGCTACAATTTTTAACTTATTTAATTTAAAATATATCCTCTTGATCTCAAATTAGTAGTCTCTCTCCCCTATACATCATATTTTTCATACATAGATGACCAGCATGACTAACAACAGTCATGCTAGTCATCTATGTAATTTCATTCTGGAGAAAACATTTGAATTGAAATCATGTGACTTCTGGTCTAGACTGGTAGTTCATATATAGTTAATCAAGGCCTCCTGACCCTAGGCTTTCCAGATCTGGTCTCGTCTTTCATCTATCTAACACCATTCTCAAGATTAAAGAAAGAAAGACAGATGGAGAGTGGGAATTTATAGGTCTACAACTTTTCAAATTGCAGTCCAAAATTTGAAAAAACTTATAAAAAATTTATGATAATAATAACTCTCCTGTGGTCACCACCTGGTTGTGGTGGGAGAGCCCAGTAATTTTACTGATCCATAGGGCAATGCAGGCTGGAGCACAAGCTCCTAGTAGGGACACCCATGCCAGTAAGGTCTATGAGGAGAAATGAAGCTAAGATTGACCACACCCACATTCTGTGGAGATAATTATCATGGTAGTACCAGATCAAAGTGTGATACCGGCTCGGACGTTGCCCGGGTTAACAAGGTCCGCGTTCGTGGGTTAGGCAGAGGCTCACATTCGAAAAATAGGCCACAGTCTCCCTTGGTTACCGGTGGAGAAAGCAGTGCCGGTCCAAGCATAGCTACTGCAATGCCCTCAACAGATGTGAGGAATCAACCTAGCCTTGGTGTTTCTGTGGCAATGCATCCAGACCACAAAAGCTGGAAAACCACACCAACGGATGAAATGGACAACAGAAGTGAACGAGTTTATCATCCGTACTTACACCATCATCACAAGACTCGAAACAAACATGACAGCATACAGACAACAACTACACCATAGATTTACAAAACAATATCCTCACCTCACCTCACCGTCACCAAACAAAGGGCTGTCAATCAAAAAAGAACAATTATACACAACAACCTTATCCCACAAACAACAGGTTACTGATCAAATACATCAACAGACAGAAACACTTAACATTATCAATGAAGATCACATAACCTGTCAGGATAATCCAGCAACAAGCATTGATAATAGCACATATACAACTACTACCACTAATGATACTATACAGTCGACCCCCCTATAAGATCATTGATTTTTCTGTTTTATCTGAATTACATGTTGTACGAGTCACTTAGATTTTACAAATACGTGTGCTGGGCTGTGAACGGCTCACATATTTGTAAAATCTAAGTGACTCGTACAACATGTAATTCAGATAAAACGGAAAAATCAATGATCTTATAGGGGGGTCGACTGTAGACACTTCCTCATCCATCACTGATAACATATAAGTGAGAGCGTATTAACTAATTCTATGTCTATTTCAGGAAACACTCACTAAATATACAGGTACAGATCCCACACAAAGACCACGAATACCAAGAATCAACATGTCAAAGGAAGTAGGAAAAACATTAAATTATGTAAACACTCACTTACTACCAAACTACATTCATTCAATTTCTACACTCTCAGACATTCATACATTAGTTTATGCTGGGGCAGTCACAGTAGTAACACACCATGGACTGAAAA